GGTCTCTGCAGACACAGTCACATGTATGCAGACACAGTCACATGTATGGAAGCCCAGAAGGGACTATGGAGCAGTTTACTTAAGAGAAGTCTGTATTTTATTTTAAAGGAGGAAGATACTGATCTGTCTTTAAAGGAAAAAGTTCATTTTAATGCAGCACAAAAACACGTTCATAATATTTTTGCTTTGGTCGTCAAATGGCCAAAATGACGACCACTTCTGGTCAGGTTACATCACACACCACACACACACACACACACAGACAAACACACCACACACAGACACACACCCACACACAACACTGTGAGGAACACACTGTCAGCTGTGTTTCTCCGTCACTTGACAGGTGGAGGTTGTGTAACAGGTCAACATGAAGTGTGTGTGAGTGTGTGTATGCGTCATACTGTAACCTGACTGATGGGTCAGATCTGTTTATAGTCCCACTGCCCTTCTCGCTATCAGAGACCGCATGACCGTCCGTGTGAATGTGTCTCTATTGGTCTGTCTCTTAGATAAGATAGGATTCAAACATTACACCAGCAGAGTTGAAGGTGACCAATTCAAACGTTACACCAGCAGAGTTGAAGGTGACCAATTCAAACGTTACACCAGCAGAGTTTGAGGATAGATTAAAGGTTACGGACAGCTGCAGCAGCTCATTGGTTCAACCTACAGAGGTCAGCGGTCAGCAGGACAGAGTGTCAGTCAGATTATGAAGTATGAGGCTGTTTACCTAAAAACAGGGTGCATTCGAATTGTCCCTCCTATCTCCTTTCACTATCCACTTTACCTTAACCCCGGGAAAACATCATGAGGTTAAGGAAATATGTTAAGAGAATTCATAAAGGACTTAGGGAAAGGCGATCTCATTGCTCTGACAATCCGACCACATTTTCCACTAGGCCACGTAATTAAATGCGACGGGCTGGCGGAGGTTAATGATGTGGGTCTGCCGTGTTGAAACTACAATGTTCCGAAAATGGACTGCTAAAAGCGCATCTAAAAAACGTTCCCCTGTGCCTTCTTGCCGGTGAAATAATCCTAATCACCACAAGGTTGGGATGAAATAAAAGAAATATAGACTACCAGGCTACAAGTAACAAAAGTGAAACCATCAGCTTCCTGTCCACTCAGAAATCAACATCAACATAAATATGATTGTATGAAATTAATTGTTACATTAATGCAAGATATTAGCCTACACATAATGTTTTAAGCATACAAATGTACAACTGCACAGCATTCTTAAGTGAATGAAATATGTTGAATAAAACATGATCTGGATAAAAATGTCTTTTATCCTTTTATCCCTTGATCTGTGTCACTTTACAATCATCGTTATTGTTCGTGAACAGTCGATGCGCAACTCGCTTTAAAATGTTGCGGCCGCAAGGAATTGGGGCGTCATATCTCATCTCCTTTGGTAAAGGATGGTCCAGTGTATCCTATGCTAAAGGAGGTTATAAAGGAAGCATTGACCCACCTTTCCTTAGCTTTTAGCCGCCACTTAAATGCTTCCGGGTCATTTCACTCAGTTAGGAACCTTCCTAAAGCAAAAATGGCAATTGGAACGTACCCACAGACTGACCTGGAATCTGCTCTGGAATAGGAAGTAGTCATTCGATCCCGCCCATGTTTCACCTGTAACCTCTTTGAATGTTTTGTTTAGGCAGCGCTGCATGTGACACAGAACCTCGTGTTGGAAAGTTCCTCAGTCTGAATCTTACCTGAGTTTAAAGACTTAATTCATGTCTGCATTTAAGAAAACATTGGACTAACTCCTTTACAACTGTTTTTATTAGAGAACAACCGAGAAATTGGCCTGCAGATAATTTATTAGCTTATCCAATGACTATCTGTATCGGCTAATTTTATCGCAGATCTTGCTAATATTACTAGATTTATTCACCAGTCAAATAACATTCATTTTATTACACTAGCAGCTCTTTCTGGCTGTCACCAGCAGATGGCGCTGTTTGGATTACAACAAGCATCATCACTCTCCAGAGTCCAGTCGAGTGACCATCTTGTCTTTTTTATAAATCTTTTCCACACGTATTTGATGACTTCATTTTTTAGGATCAACACAATAAATGTGTATATCTATATCTGTCTATCTCTACAGGTCAAAAATAAATCTAGGAAAGATAACGGCCGATATTGATATTGGCCCCAAAAATCCTTTATCGGTCGGGTCTCTGTTTTTTCTGTCTCAGGGATTTGTTACAATCCTCTTTTGGTAACTTTGGTTTAAAAACATGACTGAAGATCTGAAGATTGTTTGAAGCTTCAGTCCTTTTGTGTACAGGTGTGCTCAGGTGAAATGTGACCTGTGTTACAGGAGGTGTGCGTCTGGTCATGTGAGCTGTGGCAGTCAGAACGTCTGGGCCGTGGACAGCCGAGGGGTCGTTTACTTCAGAGTGGGAACACAACCTCTGAACCCGAGCATGATGCTGCCGGCATGGATCCAGATAGATCCACCTGCACAGGTAAGAGAGAGACCCCAGATCCACCTCCTTTACCACCTACGTAAGTGCTGAGAGTCCAGGTAACTGTGACATCATGTCTCTGCAGCCAATAGGAGTGCAGCTGGTCAGCATTCAGACGAGCCCTAACGATCGTCTCCTCTGGGCGTTGGACAACAGAGGAAGCGTCTTCGTCAGGACAGGACTCAGTGACGAGATGCCTGTGGGGACGGACTGGGGAGCTGGTGCCAGGTACCTGTCTGTCTGATCACCTGTCTGTTGTATAGTACGCAAAGGGCCTGAATATCTAAGAATGTTTTGCAGCTTCTAATATATCCATAACTTGTTCATTATGTACGGAGCTGCGCTCTCATGCTAACGGACCTGCTTTCTCATGCTCACGGAGCTGCGCTCTCATGCTAACGGAGCTGCGCTCTCAGGCTGATGGCGCTGCGCTCTCAGGCTGATGGAGCTGCGCTCTCATGCTAACTGAGCTGCGCTCTCTTGCTGAAGGAGTTCAGTTCTGTCCACATAAAGATGATGAGAAACTTTTGACACTTCATCAAGAGGACACAATCTAAACATGTGAGATGAGTTTCACCGTTTCAATCAAAGCTTCCTCCCTGAATGAACCGAGAAAGGACGACTCAAAGACAACAACAACATTCACATCTGATTTAGCCCCTGGTTAAATTAATAAAAGTCAGTCATATTTACAGACTTTATTTACAGAGCTTTTATTTTGAAGGCATACAGAGGTGGAATTATTGTAGCTGTTTACTTTTTATTTGTGTACTTTAATTTGTGTATTTGTGTAGCAATTTGTGTATTCTTGTGTGTATTGTAGGTCTAGCTGTCAGCCAGCTGGTCCTGAGCTCTTGGACAGTTTGGGTTCGGTGTGTAAACGGAGACCTGGCTCGACGTTACGGCGTCTCTGACAGAAACCCTGCTGGGGATTACTGGAAGAAGATCCCCGGAAACGCCAACTGGTTTACAGGTGAGTCCTGGTCCTTACTCTTGCACAGGTGCTTCTGTACGGCCCCGGATATGTTTGGACTGGGACTCAGGTGTTCTTGTCTCAGGTCTCTCTCTCTCTCTCTCTTAAGTAACCCCTGAGGACGAGTTGTGGGCGGTGACTCTGATTGGTGGATTGTCCCGTCGCCTGACAAAGCTCCTCCCACAGACCCCCTGTAGGCCCGCCCCCTCGGGCCCCTCCCTCACAGCAGACGACGTTGAGGACGAATGGGAGCTCATCTGAGCTGTGACATCACTTTGTCTGATGTGGGTTTACCTGGAGGGACGCTGTGATGTCATAGTGACATCATTTTATTAATAAACTTCCCCTACTTAGGTGAGGTACATACTTCCTGTTTGTACCTGGCTTCTTCCTGACACTAATTGGGATGGTGACATCACTTCCTGTGAATTAAATTCTTTTGAGGAATGTACTTAAACAAGATGGCAAGAAACAAGATTTCCACACAGGAAACCCAGGTGGCTGCTGGGAAGTGAAGTGAACTCAAACTGTGTTTTATTTGTTCTAATAGGAAGCACTTTAATCTCTGAAGGGACACTGGGCTAACGATAAACCGGTTCTGACTGGTTCTAAAGCTGCACTGACTTCCTCTGATCTGGTTCAGTCCGGTTCTAACCCGAACTAACTTGATCCTAAACTTTGACCTCTAAGCTCAAGTTCAGCCGGGAACCGGCCCGCTTTAGTTTGGTAGATTGGCTGTAGCTGGTTGTTAGTATTTCAGCGTCGCTTCTGTGTAGGTCTAACTGGTTTTAACAGGTTCTGATTGGTTGTGACTGGTTGTAACTGGTTTTCACTGGTTCTGATGGGTTGTAACCGGTTCTAACTGGTTCAGATCAGCTCAAACAGGTTCTGATTGGTCTTAAGCTGGCAATTTTGATATAATTGGGTTCAGTGTGGTTGTACTATATTTGGGGACGTCAAAGGGACGATTAACTGCAAAGGGAAATCTGAACATTTAAACTAGTTCTAACCGGTTCTAACTGGTTCAAACCAGTTTGAAATCTTCCAGAGTTCCCAGTTTTGTTGAGTCTGATGAACCTGGTCTGGTTCTAAATGAGGAAATTAAAGGGACATTTTGTTACAGAGGATTATTTTACATTTATTTTAAACCGGTTCAAACCAGTTCACAGTTTAGACTGGATCCAGCTAGTTTGAACTCGTTCTGAGGTTTTTATCTCGGTCTAGTTTAGTCTGAGACACTAAAGGGACATTTTAGTCCAGAGTCACGTATTTACTCAAATCAAGTTTAGTCTGGTTCAGACCAGCTCAAACTGGATCGTATAATCCCAGAGTCCAGTTCTGAAAGGATTTAAAGGGAAGTTTCACTGCACAGAACCTTTTTCTGCAGTTTGTTCTGGTTTTACTGGATCAGTGTAGGTTATACTGAGTAAAACCAGTTCAAACTGGTTCTTGTGTGCTGGTTTGCTCATCCTGCACTCTGCTTAATGGGTCACAGAGCAGAATCAGCTTCAAGCTAAATAAAAAAGGAACATTTCAAACTGTTTGACCAGAATCTGGGAATTTAACGAAGTAAGAATCTTCTGGAGTTTATTATTTATCAAGAGCAACAACCAAATATTCAAATCTTTGAAATACTTATTTAATACCTGTACACGAGTCGGTCGAGACCAGTATAAACCAGTTTAATCCACTGTAAAGCGGTTTATACTGGTTTCCAGCATTGACTCCGCCCCCCTGACAGGAACCAGATCACACTGACCAGCCCACTGGGACTGATCCATTAAAAAAAACTGTAAAAATGTAAATTTGATGAACGCCTGTTTGTGTTTGTTTTCAAACAAGTTTAAAGCATTCATCTGATATGAGATTTAAAGTTAAACCTGGACTCTGGTGGACTTGGGAGGTCTCTGGTGGACTAAGGAGGACTCTAGTGGACTTTATTTGACCCTTGTGGATCTCGTGGACCCTTGCGGACTCTGCAAAGGTTCAGGTCTCCGTTTGAACTGGATCTGTACTAAGATGAAATAGTAAACTTGTCGTCCTCTCTCTTCCTCGTGCTCACATCGTTGCCATGGCAACCCGAGCAGCTGTGCCGCTGTTGTGATGTCATCCTGCTGTCTCCTGCTGACGATAAGAATTCAGTGTAAACTCACCTGTGTAATTTCATCCATTAACTCAATAAACCTGTTTAAACACTGGAGGTTCTAACCTCTCAACTTTTCAAAAGCAAGATTGAAAACACGGGCAGTATTAAAATATAATGCTCACAGATGTTGTGTCTTTATCATGAGACCCCCCCCACACACACACACACACACACACACACACCACACACACACACACACACACACACACAACACACACACACACACACACACACACACACACACAACACACACACACACACAAACTAATCAGTCTTCAGTCATAATATGGAAGCTTGGCCGTGCTCTGAACGACTGACCGAGGCCTGCTCATGCCTGTGAACACCTCAGTGGTCTGTAGTCAGCCTGAGTTTACCTGCAGACATTACTCAGGGCACACACTTTATGATATATATGTTTTATTTACAGGTAATTATCGACAAGTCATTCACAGGTCAGAGAGTTCAGACAAAAACAGTACTGAAGACATTCATCTCCAAACCTTCATGAACACAGGAGACCTACGGAGAGCATGGATTGGTTTATAATCTAAGGCGTGTCCAGCAGCGGAGGTCGATCAATATGATCGATAAGTTCAACGCTGAATGAAAAACAAAGACAGCGGGTTAGAGCTTCAGGATGCTGGCTCAGTATTTCAGACTCTCTCTGCCTCTCCATCAGCTGTTTGGTTGTTTGGGTAAATGTTCATTCACATGAGATTCAAACAATCAATCTGGTCTGTCTGTATTCATAACTGATGTTTCTGTGGTTAAAACAGGAAGCTGAAGATGTGTCCTGTTGGGTTCAGAGATTCAGTCCGTGCTGAGGTAGAAACATGTTCACACAATCACATCAGTCAACATGTTCAAACAAACGTTAAATATTCTCACCAGGGAACCTTTGGAGGTCAAAATGTCCTTTAAGATTATTTCAGCGTCACTTGAAGAAAAACTTCACTGCTGACCAATAAACAGAAAACGATTTAAAGAGTCATTAAAGTCTGATCCGGGTTGAGGTCAGACCTCGTATTGTCTCCTCGGGTCCCAAAAGACTGCATGCAGACACCAGGTTTCTGTCTGTGGACGCTGACTCAGCAGTTTTTTTTTTTTATCTCTGTTGAGAGTTCACATTTCTTCAGACTGTATTTACATTTTATTTACATCATCAACAACCCTCCAATCACAGCAGTCTTGAGGTATTTACTGTGTGTTTCCATGGTGACAGATGATGTCACTGCCAGCTGTGTGGCTGCAGGAAGCTTGGAAGTGCATTGATCTGATCCGGACCAGACCGGGCTAAACACCTGAGAGACTGCAGCAGGAGGGGGGGCGGAGACAGACCACACAACCAGCTAAACACTTCAGTTCCAGAAGGCTTTGCCAGCGCTGCGGCTCCTCCTGCAGGCAGTTCAGTGCCAGTGGTTTGGGTAAGAACAGAAGCAGGAAGTCGAGGCAGCGCTGAGCGTGGCGTCGCTCTGTCGGGTCGCAGGATACAAGTCGCTGCAGTGCAAGGTCAAGGCCATCAGGCTGAGCTCCATGAACCAGCAGCAACAGCAGACAGTCAGGCCGCGACAGCTCCACTGCCAACTGCAGCGCCGTCTTTCCTGAGTCGGCCACGTGCGAGCAGCCGCCACAGCTGTCCAGGTAGTGTCTCCACTCACTCTGGATGTCGCAGTCTTTCAGGGCTTCCATCATCATGCTGAGGATCGTCACACGGTCATACCGCACCGCCACCGACAGGTGTGGCGCGCCGTTGTTACGACAACAACAGAAGCTACAGCGTGGGGCTCTGAGCGTGCTCACTGAGTACCTGTTGAGCAGATAGCGTGCATAGTCCTGGTGGTCGTGTACGAGTGCGTAGAGCAGCGCCTCAGAAGGCAGGAACGCTCTCGGCTGTCCGTCCTCCCAGCAGAAAACCTCCATGCACCTCATGTCCTCCAGCAGCCACACGGGCAGCTGCTCCCGAACGGCACAGTAAAACGAGAACGCCGTCCGCTCGCACTCACGCTGAGATGGAGACGAAGACAGGTGCTCCATCTGAGAGGAAAGAACCCACGGCATGATGACACCCTGAGTCACCTGGAGAGATACTCCTGGTCTGAGGGAGAGTCTCTGAGGTCTGAGGGAGAGTCTTGGAGATCCACCTGAAAGACTAAATTCCAAACGGACTAATCCTGATGCTGGTTCAGCCTGCACGGTCTTAGATGGACTCTCACTCAAACCTCCAACCTCAGCTCCAGTACACTTTTATAGTTTCACCTCCCACCCACAACACACTGCCCTCTACACACACACACTCACAGACACTAGCACCGCCTCTCCCCCTGCTCCCGCCACTTCAGCTCCATGTGTGGTTGTTTGTTTGGGGGCCGGGTCTGCGGATCAAGTGTCTCACATTCTGAACATAGCGGCCTTCAAGTGACTGAAGGAGTTTATGTAATAAAGTCATGAAGTTGACTGTCGGTTTGATTCTGATCGACTGCTCATAACTGATATGACTTCAAACTTTCACACAGTGTATCTTTGTTTCTGTGTGTGTGTGTGTGTGTGTGTGTGTGTGTGTGTGTGTGTGTGTGTGTGTGTGTGTGTGTGTGTGTGTGTGTGTGTGTGTGTGTGTGTGTGTGTGTGTGTGTGTGTGTGTGTGTGTGTGTGTGTGTGTGTGTGTGTGTGTGTGTGTGTGTGTGTGTGTCGATATATAGGAAACAAAGATATGTTTACAGTCAGCTGCTAAAAACACACACATGCACGCACACACTGATCAGTTAAGTCTTTCTTAGTTTAACATTTTAATCTATTAAATAATTTTAAATTTTTGCCTCTGTTTAAAATGTGTTGACTTTTTATCTTTGAACATATATCTTACAGCTGTGAGCTGTCACATGAATTGTTCTTTTTCCATTTCTGAGGTCAGTGAGTTGAGTTGTTGAAGAGCTCCTCCTGCTGTTCACTGACTGTAACTGCACACATTTTAAAAAACAAGCAAACAGTCAATCAGACAGATGAACTGATCTACAGCCTGTTAGTACATGATGACATCACATAGGACTCAAGAGCTTTAATCAAGTCTCTGAGTTCCTGTCAAGAAGTGATCTGTTTAAATCGGTCAGGCTTTAAGCTGGGCCACTCTACTGAGACTGCACTACTGTCAGGAAAAGAATCGCTACGTTTGGCTCGAGCTGCGGGTCAGTCCTCAGTTCTATTACTGCTAGACCTGTCTACTGCCTTTGACACAGTCAACCATCAACTCCTCCTATCAACGCTCTCTGAACTTGGCATCTCAGGATCTGCCCTCTGCTGGTTCGTGTCCTATCTCTCCGGCGATGTTTTAGAGTGTCTTGGAAGGGAGAGGGGTACCTCAGGGCTCTGTGCTCGGTCCCCTTCTCTTCTCCATATACACAAGCTCACTTGGTTCAATAATCCGCTTTCATGGCTTCTCATACCACTGCTATGCTGACGATACCCAGCTCCTCCTGTCATTCCGGCCAGACGATGTAACAGTGTCAGCAAGAATCTCGTCATGCCTTGCTGATATCTCTAAATGGATGAATGAACGTCACTTTCATCTCAACCTTTCAAAGACTGAGCTCCTTGTCATTCAAGCCAGTCCCTCTATGCAACCACAGATCAATATCCAGCTTGGAACAACCAAACTCATGCCCACAAAGTCTGCCCGGAACCTGGGTGTCATGATTGATGACCAGCTAACTTTTAAGGTTCAAGTAGCCTCGATTGCCCGGTCATGTCGATTTGCCCTGTACAACATCAGGAAGATCAGACCTTACCTGTCAGAACACGCTACACAGCTCCTGGTACAGGTTCTTGTGATATCATGCATTGACTATTGCATCTCTCTACTGGCAGGTCTTCCTACATGCACTATCAAACCCCTGCAGATAAAACAAAATGCAGCAGCACGACTGGTCTTCAACCTACTTCCTCTCCCTCCTCTGACTCCCAGTTCCTGCTGAAATTTAAAACTCTGCTGCTCGTTTAAAAAACAGCGACAAAAACGGCTCCTCCTCTCCTAAACTCTATAATCCAGGTCTACACTCCTCAACCCACTACACTCTGCCAATGAAAGGCGTCTGATTGATGTCACCTGTCTGTTCCTGCAGGGGGCGCTGGAGTCCCATCGATGGCGGTCTCCATGCTGGAAATTTTCTGAACTTTACTGAACTTTCAGTCTTTCAGACAGACTGAGAGCTGGAGCTGAGGCGGGTTTTAGCCCTCCTGACAAACCGTTACATCGCGCCCACCTGTCAATCAGGTCAGCTACACGCTTTATTGTGAATAACTCTTATCCTTCATCAAATCAAAACTGATGAGTCATCAAAACATTCACCCCCCCCCCGTACAGTGTGTGCTGATCGAGACATGAGCTAATCAGACCTATTTTGTTTTTTGAACCAGGCTGTAAACATGTTAATCTCTGCTGTAAAAACAGGCTTTTTAGAATGGGTGTGTATGTGACTTCCTGTGCTTCTGCAGCCAGCCTCTAGTGGACACTCGAGGAACTGCAGGGTTTTACACTTACACACAGCATCAATGTCATTATTCACCACTGGAGGATGCAGATAGGTTCCATTAGGATAAAGACAAAGATAAAGATAAACTTTATTGATCCCCCGTGGGGTAAATTTGTGCATTACAGCAGCTCCAGAAAACAG